TGTCTGGAGAGGTGCCCATCCATTCTTATGGATGTCCCTACCCTAATAAACCTTGCTATTTTACTTTCCACTACTCTCTGTCTCACGCCAGAATTCTTTCTTGCAAGACAGAAACCCTGCCTTCTCCGGTAACATAAGGTCACATACAAATTTTAGTATAACTTTTGCTATCTATGTAAAATGAATTCTGTAAGTAATGCTATTGATCTGTTTAAGAGAAATAATGGTGTAATTTTCCAGTTCAATGATCTTCAAAAGATCATGAAGGGGATTGCTGGGTCTCCTAGAGTGATAAACATTTAAGATGTGCAGGGTGGGAAGTGGGGTTGGGGCCACGGTGTGGCCTCTGCATTACAAAATAAAGCCCTGGATATCCTCAAAAAAAAAAAAAGTCGCATACAACCATATTTTAGCTTGAGTGGCTACAGGTAGAACTAAGTTTTAAATTAATTATTTACTTATAGTAGTGCTCTATTGAGTAATCTCTGTTGGAGTAAGAAATCTGGCCTTATGAAACTGCTCACAGTCACTATACTTCCGAAGGGGCATAACTAGCATTTTGGATTTGTGCAGGACAGCCTCTGTCTGGACATTTGCAGCAACTGGAATGACATGCAGATGAAAGCATAAATAGCTTTTTAAGTTTCGTTTTGATGGAACAAGGACATAAGCCTCCATCATCTTAGTTCCTGGCCTGAAAGTAAATCAAATCCCAGATGGGCTCTTTTACCCCTGCATTCTTTAAAGGGACCAGTTCAGTCCCACCCCCTGCACTCTTCCACTCCCCACCCCCTGCATTCTTCCCCAAGTTTGAAAGCCAGTAAAAAACCTGAAAAATCTGTAAGAAGATATTCACCTTTGCTTACTGCCCCCACCTTTCCTTAGCCCACCCTAAGATCTATAAGACCCCACCCAGCCCTCTAGAGGTCTGTGTCCTCTGCCACACGTTGTTTGTGCAAGCCTGCAGTTGGCTACCTCTGCAAATTTATTTTCCCTTGAATAAATTTGTTTTGGCTATGAGTTCCTATCACATCTCCTCTCTCCTTACACACTGCATAAGTAATCCTGTATTCTTTTTCAAAGCATACACACAGTTACTGGTCTATTTCTAGAAATGCTTTATAGTAAGAAGTGATAAACTCAACAATTATTTTGTGGTTCAATGAAATCTCGATAAAATATTATTATTTTTATAGCTATTGAAAGTCAGTTTAAATGGAAATACAAGGAACACGAAGAGAAAGCAATTTTGAAGAACAAACCTGGAGGATTTAAGAACTATTATAAAGCTTTAGTGACTAATTAAGTCTTGTTCTGGGAACCAGTGTTACGGCACAGTGGGTTAAATAGCTGCTTCCAAAGCAGTGCTGGTTTGAGTCCTGACTATTCTAATTATAATCTAGCTTATTGCTAATGTGTCTGGGAAGGCAGAGGAAAATGGTTCAAGAACTGGGGTCCCAACTCCGATTTGGAAACTAAGGATGGAGTTCCAGGCTCTTGGCTTCAACCTGGAACAGCCATGGCTACTGTGGCCATTTGCAAAGGGAATCAACAGATGGAATATAGTCTCTCCCTCTCTTTCTTGCTTCCTGTCTCTGTTGCTCTGCTTTTCAAATAAATAACTAAGCCTTCAAAGATAAGGTCTTATACTGGTGAAAGGAGAAGGAAAATTGAACAAAACAACCAAATAACAAACATAGAAAAGATTCTACAAATATTCAATTACCTGGTATTTACATAATACTAATTTAAATTTCAATTACCACAATCTATTCAGCAGAATGGTAGAAATAAAATTAAAGAAATATTGTTAGACAGAAAATGGATCAATCAAAATTCTCAGTCTAGAGCAATTTGAACTGATAGAATTACTTTGATACATCATTTAGCAAAGTTTACAAAATCAGTACTATGTATACTATCTCAGTAATTCCAGACTGAATTTTATTCAAAACAGTTCTTAGGCACCGATATATTCATGTCCCTAAGTTGGAAACTACCAAAATAATCATCAGCAATCTATGAGAAAAGAATTTATATTATATTCACATAATGTGATATTATATAGAAATTAGAATAAATATTGTATATATTGGAAGGGGGGAGGGAAAGGGAAAGGGAAGGGTTGGGGGTGGGAGGGAAGTTATGGGGGGGAAGCCATTGTAATCCATAAGCTGTACTTTGGAAATTTATATTCATTAAATAAAAGTTAAAAAAAAGAATAAATATTGTATATAAATAATTATATGATGGATTCCACAAACAAAATATTAAATAGAGCAAAAACACATCAAAAATTTGTATGATATATACTATTTATGTAAAATATCAATATGGGCAAAAGTAAACTTTGATGTTAGAAGGCAGAATATGCTTAGTTTAGGATTACGTATGGACAGTAATGGAGCTCTAAATAGCAAAAATTTTTTTCCTGATTCAAATGCTAATCAATAAATTTAATATTTATAATAATCAGATATTTTGAATATTTTACTTCCACAAGAATAAAAATGTTAAAGACAATCATCAGCAACATTTTTATTCTTATGGAAGTATAATGTATATTGAAATACACATATATAATTCATTTAGGCATACATTTAGAAAACACTCTAAGATATTGTATAAAATAAGTTATTAAAATTTAAGTTGTAAAAGACACAGTGGGACCAAATGAAATTATAGGACAAAAGAAGATGAGGCTATAAAATGCATGCATACTAGATGTTTGCATGGAAAATAAAAAAAGTTACTGAAAAATAAAAATTGAATTAATTCCTGTTATTTAGAACAATATGACTTAATCCTAAAATACTATTGCTGAGTAAAAGGCATCAAATCCAAGAGTACACAATACAGTAGTCAATTTACATTCTATTCTATAACAGGCAACAATAATCTGTGGTAGAAGGAGTTGGAAGAGTAGTTGCCTCAGCGTAACAAAGGGCAGAGTGAGCTTATTGGTAATATTATTATTATTGGGAATTTTGATAGACTTTTGGCTTACATAGATATATGCATGGCTCAAAATGTATCAAATGGAAGATTTTATGTATTTTATTCTGTTTACTTTTACTTAAGGAAAACAAATACATGTTTTGCACTCCATAATAAATCACAAGCTGAACTATGTGTGCATTAAATATATTGATATTTTGAATTTCAAAAAAAATGATAGGTTAAGGGATAAGTTAAGGAAATATAATAAAGCATTAATTATAGAAGCCAAGTGGTTGGTAAATGATTTTGTTGTAAAATCTTTTGACTTTTCTATGCCTGAAGATTTTCACACTGAATATTAAAAAAAGTACAACTTTTGTATTATAGCAGTTTTTCCTACCATAACCTCCCTCCCACCTGCAACCACCCCATCTCCTACTCCCTCTCCCATCCCATTCTTTATTAAGATTAATTTTTAATTGTCTTCATATACAGAAGATCAACTTAGTATATACTATGTAAAGATTTCAACAGATTGCACCCACACAGACACACAAAGTATAAAGTACTGTTTGAATACTAGTTTTACCATTAATTCGCATAGTATAACACATTAAGGATAGAGATCCTACATGGGGAGTAAGCACACAGTGACTCCTGTTGTTGATTTAACAATTGACACTCTTATTTATGATGTAAGTAATCACCCGAGGCTCTTGTCATGAGCTGCCAAGGCTATGGAAGCCTCTTGAGTACACAAACTTCGACCTTTTTTAGACAAGGTCATATTCAAAGTGGAAGCTCTCTCCTCCCTTCAGAGAAAGGTACCTCCTTCTTTGATGGCCCATTCTTTCCACTGGAATCTCACTCATAGAAATCTTTCATTTAGGTCTTTGATATTAGATACAAATCTATCTAAAGATGAACAAAACAGGGCCAATGTTGAGGCAAAATGGGTTAAGCCACTGCCTTCAACTCTAGTATCCATATAGGCACCAGTTGGACTCCCAGCTGCTCCTCTTCCAGTCCAGCTCCTTGCTAATTCACCTGGGAAAGCAGTGGAAGATGATACAAGCCCTTGGGCCCTTGAACCTTCATGAGAGACCAGGATGAAGCTCTTGACTCGTGTCTTTGCCTGGGCCCAACCATGTCTGTTATGGCCTTTTGGGAAGTGCACTAGAGGATGGAAGCTCTCTTTATCTCCCTCTCTATGTCTCCTTCTCCTCTCTGTAACTCTGCCTTTCAACTAAGTAAAATAAATCAAAAAATGATGAACAAACCAAAATAAAATACTGAAACAACTGAATTATTATTTTATAGCAGAAGAGAATTTTCAACATCATTCAGCTCTACATATTTTCTCACAATTCATATTCTACTTACTTGAGATTCCATTGAGAGGTCCAAATTCTAATATATAGAATTTATATATATATATAGAATATAGAATATATATAAAATTTCTAATATATAGAAATCAAGGGATCAAAATTTGGAAGAGTATATTCAGAATCTACAATATATTATATAGCAATATAACATTTGCTATCCAAAAAATTCTTTAATTACTTCTTGTAGGAGTTCACACAATTTTGATATTTAAACTCAGCTTACCTGAATACTTTAAACAGCTTTACTGTTGATGACTTCCTTTTATTCAGAATGAAATTTTAAAAATGGTGGGACAAATGAATGATTATCTCTCTATCTATCTTTCTACCTACCTACCTACCTATCACCCATCCCATATGTATTATGTATCTATTTTTCTGTCCATCCATCTACTCATCTATCCATCCATCCCTTAAGTAATTTGTATATTGTCTTTATATAATGACAGCAATTCTTTTCAGTGAAGTTATAGATTTTGAGGTTTTTTTTTTGTGAGAATGTTTTCAAAATCATCTGGCTATATATGGTTATATAGACTCAAGTGAGGAGGCAGTGGAGTTTTCAATGTCTTAAGCTCTTTACCCATTTGGAAAATAATATTCCTAAATAAATCATTGAAGTCTGATGACGACGCTTGTTTAAATGTAGTACTGATGCCTGGTACTCACAGGTATGCAGCTTTTCCTTCTTCCAGTTCTTTACTTTTGCCACTAGAGCCACTTTTCTTCCCACACATTCTCCTGGTGATGCACATCAATAACCCACATTGCCGAATAAAAAAGCAGCTGACGTCTGTTACCACAAGGATCAGCAATAGAGCCGCAACTCCTAGGCCAATAACTGCTCCAAGTCCAAGACCATTAAAAAGTGTATCTAAACAAATAACATAGAAATAATATTGTTAAATCCTCAAATTAGAAAACATCAGATAGCTATTTTAAAAAGAAATCTTATTCAAGATCTATTTAGTCAGAGACAAAAAAAGTGTTGTCAACTAGCAGATTTCAATTTCATGATGTTGAAATCTCTTCTCTGGTCTTCTAGGATAATTTTAAGCAATTGACACATTAATGATCTGAAAAATTTTTATAAAATTTCTTTTTAAAAAATGTCTAACTCTTTAAACTATACTTCTTTGTTCCCTGTGGGGAAGGTAATTAATATTATCATATTCCTAACTTATTTTAGGAGAAAGTCATAGCCATTAATAGATCATAATAAAGTTTAAAGAAAAATATAGTCAAAACTTATGTAAGAGAGATGTTAAATAACTATCCCATATAGACTTATTTTAAGATTGAAACATGCAAACGGATCACTCCAAGTACTTTGCTTTGACAGTATATGCTTTTTTAAGTATCTGTCTGTGAATATTAAAAAAATTTTAGAGTGAATGGCTTGTCTATGTTTTTCCAGCTAGTGTTTTAAAAAATGTATTAGATTAGAGACACAGTTTTACAGATTTTTGGTACATATGACTCTTTGTCAGGTCATATCAAAAGAAATTAGGTGATGAGGTGTGCCACTGCTCTTTGGCATGTGGTTGCAGAAAATTCCAAAAGGCATGCATGGAAGAGGTTAACAGGAATAACATAGAATATGCTGATAAAGAAGAAATGGCAAGAGATACAGGTAGTAATGAAAAGTAATGAAAAATTATATGTTTTTTGTTTGAATATGAAGGCCGACTGCATGGCTACAATATTATTGGTCAGAAAATAAGGACAAAGGAAATAAAAATAAATTAATCTAATAATATATAATATCTAGATGAAAAATTTTATAATGTAAGGTAATTGTATAGATATTCACAGTCACTCTTACCATATGTATGTTAAGGATTTGTTGATGTAATATTACAGAATTATGATTATCCTTTCAAGGAAAAAATACAAGTATTATTCATCATCATAACAGAGCTCTCAAAATATTAGAATGTGGAACACAGGCAGAAAATTTAGGCTTTGAGAAAATTACTCCTAAATATTTATATGTAAAACAAGTTTATTCTATATCATCTGTTTAAAATTGCACCTAATATTTTAATAATGAAATATATATTTTAAAAGAATCAGTATGGTTGATCTTAATTACTCATGGGTCTTAAATGGCACATGTGTCTGAATTCTAGTTTAATTTTCTGCAGAATTATAGTCACACATCTACACTTATTTAATTTTTTCTAAGAAACAGATTTAACTTTTTTACCATTCTTAGAGACTTCAGCTAGAATTAGGAACATTATTCTATCTGTGACACAGTGACCTACACGATTTTGTGGGTCATCTAGCTAGAACACAAATGTACTTCACAGTGCTTCCATGAGCTGGGACCTGAGAATTCAATAACAAAGACATTAAAAAATTTAGACATGCCTAAGATGACTATAATTTTTATTTAATTATTTTGTTTCTGATGAGAAACAAGTAAAAAAAATCCACATGTTCTGTAGCATTTCCTTCCACATTAGAGAGCCTTAAAAACAGAGTCAGTGAAGCAGAAGGGAGAATATTAGACTTAGAAGACAGAGCACAGGAAAGTATACAGTCAAACCAAAGAAAAGAAGAGGAAATTAGAAATATAAAAAAATATTGTTGGGAATCTACAGGATACTATTAAAAAACCCAACATTCAGGTTCTATGAGTTCCTGAAGGCATGGAGAGGGAGAAAGGATTAGACGGCCTTTTTAGTGAGATACTAGCAGAGAACTTCCCGGGTTTGGAGAAGGACAGAGACATCCTAGTACAGGAAGCTCACAGAACCCATAGTAAACGTGACCAAAAGAGATCCTCACCATGACACGTTGTAATCAAACTCACCACAGTGAAACATAAAGAAAAGATCCTAAAATGTGCAAAGAGAAACGTCAGAATACTCTGAGGATCTCCAATTAGACTCACAGCAGACTTCTCATCAGAAACCCTACAGGCTAGAAGCGAACGGCGAGACATAGCCCAGGTACTAAGAGAGAAAAACTGCCAGCCCAGAATATTATATCCTGCAAAGCTCTCATTTGTGAATGAAGGTTTAATAAAGACCTTTCATAACAAACAGAAATTGAAAGAATTTGTCACCACTTGTCCAGCCCTGCAAAAGATGCTTAAAGATGTGTTACACACAGAAACAGAAACACGGCCATTAATATGAAAGAAGGTAAATGAAGGAAACCTCACAGCAAAAGATCACAGGGAATTCAAAGCATATATTAGAAAATATCTTTGGGAAATGGCAGGGAAAAGTTACTGCTTATCAATAGTTACATTGAATGTTAATGGCCTCAACTCTCCAGTTAAAAGACACAGACTGGCTGAATGGGATAAGTAACAAAACTCATGTATTTGCTGCTTACAAGAAACACATCTTTCCAACAAAGATGCATGTAGACTGGAAGTGAAAGGCTGGAAAAAGATATACCATGCCAACAGAAATGAAAAAAGAGCGGATGTAGCCATCTTAATATCCTCTACCACATTTTAACATACCATTTAGATGTTAACAGTGCACAAAATTAGTATCCTGAGAAATTACTGCTATTAACACAATCTTCCTTTTATCAGAAGAACCCACTTTGAAGGGAAACTGGAGAAGGGTATGATTCAGAATATTTTTTTAAAAAATTCCAAGAAACCAATGGAAAATGCAATTTAAAATATTTATCAATTTCTATGTTTGTATAGATGTAAAAATTTAAAAATGAATAGTACCTTATGGTACACAAGTAAGACATCAAGTAAGCTAGAGTTTATGTTAAGAATTTTAAGAAATTTATATTCATTAAATAAGAGTTAAAAAAAGAATTTTTTAAAAAAATCATTGAATGTATTTTATTTCATTAACTTTTCCAAATATGAGTGATTGTCTTATGAATCTATTACTACATAATCAATACAAATTTCCCCTGAAATATCTTGGATTATATGTAGCTAAAATATTTTCTTCAAAATTGGTAAGTAATATATCAGTTGAGATGTAAACAATTCAACAGAGAAGTGGGAAATATATACATATCAATTTGGGCTTTACCTCCTGTGGATATATTGATCTTATTGATTTGAAGTGATCATTCTTTTCTGACTTCACATTGTAGTATGGACTTATTTATTTGAAAGGCAGCGTGGCACAAAGAGGTAGTAAGGTCTTTAATCCACTGGTTCACACCCCAAATGGCCTCAACAACCAATGTTGGGCCAGGACCAAGTCCAAGTTCTTGGATCATTATGAATTTCCTTCCTAGGTACATTAGCAGGAAGATGAATTGGAATCTGAGCAGCCAAAATTTCCACCAGCACTCTGAATTGGGGTGCAGGAGTCACAGGTGGATGCTTAATCAGGGGCACCACACCTTGGCCCTTCCCAATTCATTTATATTCCTCCCTCACACAGAGTTCATGGCAATAACTCTAGATTATCATTTTTTTTGACAGGCAGAGTGGATAGTGAGAGAGAGAGAGAGAGAGAGAGAGAGGTCTTCCTTTGCCGTTGGTTCACCCTCCAATGGCCGCCATGGCTGGCGTGCTGTGGCTGGCACACCTCGCTGATCCAAAGGCAGGAGCCAGGTGCTTCTCCTGGTGTCCCATGGGGTGCAGGGCCCAAGCACTTGGGCCATCCTCCACTGCACTCCCTGGCCACAGCAGAGAGCTGGCCTGGAAGAGGGGCAACTGGGGAAAGAATCCGGCGCCCCGACCAGGACTAGAACCCGGTGTGCCAGCGCTGCTAGGTAGAGGATTAGCCTATTGAGCCATGGCTCCAGCCTCTAGATTATCATTTTTTAAAGATTCATTAATTTGAAAGGCTGAGTTGCAGAGAAGAACAGGCAGAAGCAGAGAGAGAGAGACAGAGAGACAGAGAGAGAGATTGAAAGAAAGAATTTGGTCTGTTGGTTCACTCCCCAGTGACTGCAATGACCAGATCTGGGTTACACTGAAGTCAGGGCCAGGAGTTTCATCTAGGTGTCCCATGTGGGTGCAGGGGCCCAAAGACTTGAGCCATCCTCCACTGCTTTCTCAGGTGCATTAGCAGGGAGCTGGATATGAAGTGGAGCAGCAAGAACTTGAACCGGCACCCATATTGGATGCCAGCACTGCAGCCAGTGGCTTAATCTGCTATGCCACAACACCAGACCCTTGGCAATGACTTCTACAGATCAATGAAAGTAAATCTAGTTCATTATACAAATTCTCATTTACCTTTTCTAAGTTTGAAATATTTTTGCTTTTTAATTAAATGAACTGCATCAGGAGTCAAAAAATCCTGGCTTCATCATTTACTGTTTTATTTTTTGGAGGGTGAACACTAATTTCTCTAGGACTAATGTGCCTCTTTACTAAAACTGGAACAGTTATGAAAATAATAAATGCAAGCTAAATCTCAGTGTATGGAGGAAGATTGTTGGCAACACACTACAAATCCCTAGCACTTATTGCCTACCTAATAGAAAATAAAAATTTAACAACTTCACACCATTTATACCATTTTAATTATTATACTGTTACACAATTCTAGAGTATATTTTATTAAAAAATCCTATCTATAGAGTCAAACATTAGGCTAGTCTGTAAACATACCTGTTCATCAACAATTTAACACAGGAGAGTTGCATTAAGTAATGATTATTACCCTGAGAATTTACTTTGTAAGGGCAATATTTATTTTACAAGGACTATAAACAATAATCAAATGTAAAGATGTCAGTTTCATTCAAAAAAGTAATTTTTTAAATAATCAAGGGTCATTAAAACTTTATATAATTCTTAGCAATTCGATTGGAAAACTTGTAAAATAAAGTTTTTTTTAAATAATCAAGGGTCATTAAAACTTTATATAATTCTTAGCAATTCGATTGGAAAACTTGTAAAATAAAGTTTGTCCAAGT